CTTCTTCATCTTTAATTAAATTATTCATGATAGTACTTTCCATACTTTTTGGAAAAATGTAATCTTGGCAATACAAAAACAGGAAGCACAACTTTCCCCACAAAACTTTCTAGAATTTAACTAGACAATTTTTGTCAGTACAGGAGACAGAACTATCTGTTTCATTGGTGTATATACGAGTTTTCCTCTTAGTTAAAACCTTTTGAAATGCTTTATGAGTAGGATAAGTCACATAAAGCTTTCTGTTTAGTGGGTAGATACAAGCACCGTATTGAAGAAAAGGGGCAAAAGACACGCTGCTGGTAGGAGATGCAGGGTATTATGTGCCGTGCCTATTAAGGAAGTTAATGATCAGCACTGTTGTGCTGTCTGATGACACAAAACCCTGTATGGATGGGTTGAAGATGTCTCCCACAGTCCTGACAGCCCCAGTCTCATGACCTGGGGCCTCATAGGTTGCGCATCTGTTTCTGCTCACAAGTCTCTAGTAAAAGGTGCCTAGTAAAAGGTGACCAGGTATGCCCCAGACAGTGTGTGAAGACCATAGAAGTATCTCAGCTGACAGAAAAAGATCTTCTGAGTCCACAGGGTCAGCTGCCAGGAGGGTCAGCAAGGAAAATGTGCCTTCTCTAACTAGTGGGACTATAATGCCAACACCTTTCTGGCTATTTGCTTTTGAGCCTTTACCAGTGCTTCTGTCCTGGTGGTACATTCCCATCATTTCACCCAGACGTTATCATACAAATAATATCTGAAGTGTCACAGGCTGGTTTATAAATTGTAGTTTTGTAAAGTTGTGGTTGGGCTCCAGTAGATGAAGACAGCTGCTAATGAAAGCTATTGGTGTGCCAGCATGTACCTGAAGAAAAATGCTAGGCCCAACATACAGAAGGCATCTGGTTTTATTCCAGTGGCATATGGCAGCTTCATGCCCTTAACAAGAAGTCACCCTCACAGCAGCATCAGCCAAGGGCAAGGTCAATCAGCCAAATGTGGAGGGAATTACGTGTTTGAATGTCTTCTCTGACCAAGAACGTGCTTTGCAATCACAAGGAGTACTCATGATGCTTGGGTAATTTTGCAGAGTGCAAGTATACAGCTGCTTGGTTGTCGTTAAGTCTCCCACGCTCATACATGACTGTGTTGTAAAAATGTGAGACAGGCAGTGAATTACAGGTGATGATTGCAGGGTGACTAGATAGGCCTCCACAAGACATATGCCTATAACTTGGAATTCACAGGGCTGCTCAGTACATAAGCCAGCCTGCTGTACTATATCACCCTTCCAATAAATGGAAACCAAAATATAAAGTTGCTATACACTTGCTTAGGCACATGAAACTGGTGGGTGTAATGATCCAGACACATAGCCTGCTGACACACTGTTAGAGTAAATGAAAGATGAATAATGAAATGTGTGTGGGTAGACCTTAGCAATCTTAAATATGCCAATTAAAAAAACCAACTCTGGATAAACAAGTGTGGGAAATTACTTCTGATTCTGTTTTGGCCGGCGGGAAAAAAAAGGCCTTTTTCACAGTTATAGGTGAGGGAAGGCTATTGGCACCTATGGGCACCATTAACACTTCTCAGGGACCACAGAAATTCATCTTTCCTTGCTAGGAATAAAGTCACATTGAGAGATAACCATCAGATACTCAAAGAGCTGAATGAGTGACACTTTTTCAGCACCCAGTGCCTGCAAGTTAGTTTTTCAGGTTTGTATGAGAAAACCTTGGTGCACTAGATGGCTTTTGTGCAAAAACCAATCACTTCATTTAAAAGGGAAGGGTGTTAAGGGCAGATGGCAGCATCCCCCTGCGGACCTGTGCTGGGCTGTGGAGCTCCAACTCTGGGGGCTCTTGGCTGCAGAGGAGGCAGCCCCCCACCGCAGCCCCCCACTGCCACGCTGCTCCCCCAGCCTGGGGTCCTTATCAGGAGCATGCCCCGAGGAGTGCTGGAGGCTGGAATGATTGCAGGGGTGAAGCCACGGAGGCAAGTAATGGGTTGCACCATTTGTTTTAGTTTTGGAGTCAACTGCAAGGAGAGAAAGCTCTAATGGCTCTGGGGCCTGTGAAACATTTGATAAGTATTTCTCATTGAGGGACTTCCCGCTGCCCGAATGTGGCTGCATATAGAGAGGGCACATGCGTGAACTTGTGGCAACAGATGTCTATTTTGCTGGGACGTGCCATGTTTGATGAAGTGGCCTGTAAAGAGTTAGCATGAGGCTGGAGAGCAAGCATTGCTGTTTGCTATAAACAAACCTTACCAAAGTGCCTGTAATTGCAGTGTTGGAAGGTTGGCCAGGCCTACATAGTAGCAGGAGAGGAAAATAATGCTTTCTTTTATCTGTTCTTTCAAACAGCTGGAGACAGATAAAAGCAGCGACAGTTTTAACCTAAGCAAAGATTGTGACTGTGTGCTTTCCTTTGTTCCTCAGTGCTTTCTGTTTTCTTCCTTCTTAGCTATATTTTTATTTGCGAATGAAACTGTGCATGGGACAGCTTCTGAATGCTTTTTCTTTTTTTTCCTCTTCTTTTTTTCTTTAACTTAAGGAGATATCTATTTCTCCTCAAACTCAGTTCCTGTGGCTGCCTCTGCTTCAGAGGTATGCAAGGTCAACAGACACTGTGCTCCATTCTGCCTACTCATGGCAACTTCCAGAGCCCTGACACAAAGACCAGACAAACAACATCTTGCACAACCAGCCATCATGGAGGATATGTTTTGCCATAATATGGTAGATGTAAAACAGTCCTGAAGCAATCATTTTCAGATTTTCCAGTAACACAGAATGCAGTGGCATAAGATAGAGAAAATGAACTGTTACCTTCAGAACAAACAAACAAAAACCTTCTATTGCTTCTTCCAGGGACACAGGAAAAAAATTTTAAATCCTAGGATTCCAAGTGAGTAGAGATTTACACTGACATTAATCAGAATCACTTACCTAGCTAAGTTCCTCATGCAATGCTTTGAAACTGTACCTTGCTGCTTCTATTTGAAACTGTAGAAACTGTACCTTGCTGCTTCTAATTAGATGCCTTGGACTGATGTTTTGGTACAGCAGGAAAATGTTGCTTTGCTAGACTTTTCAATTGCTCTAATCCTTCAAGTCATACAGACCCAATAATGTATAGCTCCATCAGGGTGACTCTTGCAGGCACATAAGCTCATCTACCTAAGGAGTTATTCCAGTTTGGCTTTTCCTGATTAAATCTGCTGTGGATGTTATTGCAATAGAGATAGCTCTTCTGTTGTAAAACCTGTATTAGACCACTCTTTCCTTTTGTTAATTGCAATCTTTTATGGCTCTGTATGTTTTCTGTAGGGATAAAAAATAAGTATTACTTCAGATATATTTTTACTGTACTATGTACTTTCAATGTATCTTGCTGCTTTCCTTCAAAAAGTAAAGCCTATTTGAAGTACAATACAAGCTGTATTGCCTACAGACTTCTCAGGTATGCTTTATGGCAAACCAAGATGTTTTCACAATGGCATTCCTGCAATTTCAACACCTGATAAATAAAGGCATGACTATTTTCCTCCAGCTGTTCTCTTTGAAATTTAATTGTCCTAAGCTGGTACCTCCTTTTCAAAGTCTGTGGAAACACAGGCATATGGGTACGGATGAGTTTGTGGGAAATAAAGAGAAAAGGACTGTTTCTGGTCTAGTGCATCTTATGTGAAGAGTGAGAAACCTTACTTCTTCCACTCAACTCTAGCGTGTGAGAAAGAGCAGTCTGAATCCTTTGCAATATTTAATATGAATATGTTTTTACACAGTAACTCCCTATAAAAGTCTGAATCTATGACTATTCAGTAACAAAGGCAGCCACAATATTATGTCATTTGTTGGTGATGCATCCTTCTCTGCTTAATAACTGAATTGTTGTTTTGGTTTGTGGCACCAAAGAAATTAGTAAAGACATTTTAAGAATTAAATTTATTGAACTTTTTAAAGTCATTAAGGATTTTATACATCAATAATGTCTTTTAAGGCAACAAAATTATAAATCTGGTTGTTTCTATGTGGTAGCTTCACATGCAAAGAATGAAGGTACATTTTAGACTTCCCTTTGCAATTTTTATTATTTTTTTTTAACAAACATGTTTCTTATGTTTTATAAACTTGCATTACAATTGCAGTTACACGTTCCAAACATTTTTTTATTATACAGCCTAGAAATACTCATATTTAAATAGTATATAAATCAAGACAGTTTTCCTATAGAAAAAGTTTAAAAAGGTTGCTCTTTGCTGTCCTTTTAAAAAGAAGACGAGCTCATATTTCTAGGATGTGAAATAAAATAAACCCCTAAAAGACAAATAATTATCAGCTATGTGTTCTTAAGAAACATATGCTTCCTACCTAAGATTATGCATATATACAACTTAGCTGTAATAAATAATAATAAAAATGGAACAACTATATAACTTTTAGAGTTCTTCTGTATATTAGGGTTTGAAATATAGCTACCCTTAAAACCTTCCTTATCTCTTCAAATTTCAGATTGTTCATTCTACCCTGCCCTTTTCTTACTGTTTTGTTACAGGATATGATACAATGACAAATAGTAGATAAGGATTTTCAAGTTTCAATAAAGCCAAACATAAAAGCTCTTCAGAAATGAGATCAGCTTTATTTGTTAAAATAGTTGTACTATGTACAAAGGAGATTACTATAATTTACAATACTTAAGGCATAGAACATTGGGGGTTTTTTGCTTCCACTGGAAGAGCAGTATTTTAGAACTAAAGAATCATTAGAATCAGACATTAATAGTAGCAATAAAATAATAATATAATAATAAATACTTCACATTCATATAATCTGAATTTGTAATAATCCAAGTATTTCAGCATTAACTAGTATATCTTAATCTGCCTCCAACATGTAGGTAGAACTGACTTCTGTAGCTCACAGAAGAAAAAAGTTATATGAATCAAGGCAAGGGTTACATCAGCCCTAAAATATTTCCCTTTGTCCAGTTTCAGAACTGCCAGCAGCAGAATGCCAGGAGGATGGTGATCAGGCAAGCAAGGGCAAACACTGTTTGCTGTAATCTTAGTCCATTAGAATACAGTCTAGTAATTTCCTCCTCTTCTGATTTCAGTTCTAAAAAAAAAAGAAAAAAACCCCCAAGAAAATAAAATAGTTAATGAGTATAATATGTAAATTTTAAAACATAAGGATTTTCAACATACTTTGAAACTCCTCTGACATCTCACAGGTACTTAAGCTAAAGGTATCAGCTGTTAAAGCCAATCAAAGAGGCTATTCTCAGGGGAGATGTGAATAGATGTCCCATCAATGATCGTTTGAGGAGCAACTGATAGCACTTATCAGCTCTTGCAGGCATTAATCTCAGAATAATCAAAAGTAAATACCAAGCAAAAGCAAGATCTTCGCAAGAGGTATGCACTCAAGTCTGCATGTAGCCTTTTAACCCTTCCTTTAATAAGAAGGGGCTTGGTTTATTAGCACAAGTGGAAAGCCATACCCTCATGCATGTGAAAGCTACTGAGTCCATGCTCAGTGGATGAGCAGACGATTCTCCACTGCCACCTTTATTGCCTTTGTTAAGCTGAGCTCAAGAGTAGTAAGCAGTAGACTGCTTTTACCAGGCATGGGAGGCCTGTTAGGTCTTTTGCTCCTGTAATGAGAAACAATAGGGCCGATTCAAAGGTGAACACCCAAGGGAACTTGGCATTTAACTCTTCTGAAGAGTTTAAGGAGCAAGTTGGATGCTACACATAATTAGTCAATACAGAAGACTTCAAGGCAAAAGTGGCTTTGGTGGTGGGTTTTTGGTTTTGGTGTTGTGGTGGGGGTTTTTTGTTTGTTTGTTTTTTCCTCCCCTTGTGGTTGCAAAGATAGGAATGTCACCTTTATTTTGCATTTCAGTTCTTTGGACTTGTGGGCTTATCACACTTTAGGGCATATGCTGGGACCCAAGAGGCTCAAGTTTTGAAATTTGTATTTATTTCTGTGTTGGTGGTTTAACTCCAGAGACACAGCTTCAATGCACTGCTACTTACATAGGAATGTGGTCAGGAAAGAAGAGGCTGGTAGTTCCTTAGGGTGCAAATGAATCTTGAAGCTATTTAGGTCTGTTGTTTTCTTACACTGCTAACTAGTGATTTGGGCACAGCTGAAGTATATAGCACAGCACAGGGTGGGATTGAGATATCATGCATGGAAAAGGGCAAGAATATTTTGCACTAACTTTGCCACTGGAGAGAAAATATTAAATTCTTAATAGTCATCTCAGAATATTGAAAATAGTTTGGATCTCAGTAGCCAGTTCTCCATGGAAAATAAGTACCTGTAAAGCAATCCTTCAAGTAAGTTTTTATTCTAGCTGATACACTGTTTTCAAAAATACTCAGATCTTTATACAGGGATTTTCACAGACTGATGTATAAAGACTTGACTTAAAGTAATTTAGTCCTTTTGAGGAGATGGGTGCTACTACTTTACACTGACCAGGATTATGGCTACACATTTTTTTTGTGGATTGTGCTCAATCTTAGAACTCTGTACAAGAATATTTTGAAGATTAAGATACAGATCTTAAAAGAATAGTTTTCTGCCATTTATGTGTTAAGTAGCTTACACAAGAACATGCAAGTTTTCAGTACTTGTTTCTGTAGTGTAATACTGGTTTCTACTTCTACCACACCAGCTTATGCTGCTGTTTTTTCTCTTTCCTCATCTAAGAAAGATTTTTGTACGCTTGGATGTAGTTTATTTGTACAAATTGTCCTGCTTAAGTGGGAAGTCAGACACGTGCAGGTTTTGTAAAACAGGGAAATATCTAATCCCTGTAATTTTCAATTAAAATGGGGGAGAGTTTCCTACTGCATGGGATTATAAAGGTCTCAAAGTATTTTATGTTATGCACCATGCAGGCAAAACCAGTATTATTTACTGTTTCACTAATGCATTCTCTAAAGCAAAGCAGGCCACTGCAGAAGTCTAAATAGAGCACATACAGCATCCTCCAAGTACCCCAACTTTGCAGAAGGCAATTCTGTTACCCAAAAGATAAAAATGGTTGATTTAACGCCATTCCTTACCACAGTTGTCGTGCATTATTTCTGAGAGGCAGTTCAGAGTACCATAGCCGCACCGACATAGCCAACAGCCCTTCAGCACCCAGGCGCCGTGGGCAATGCTGCCGCAGTTGCTGTCAAGGGCAAGGGAGACATTTGGTACGTCCCTGATCCCACCACAGAAAATAACCGTCCAGAGCAGCTCGCTCACTCTCTCTGGTTTTGGTCTGGTTTTTACCTTTGCCGCTCATCATATTCACAGTATCTGCCAGTGAAATGCTTTAGGCAGGCACAGAAAGCCCCTAGGATACAGGTCCCTCCATTTTGGCAGCAGTGTCTGTTCAGTTTTTTACCTGCAAAGCAGAATTACAGAGGTTACCAAGCATCTCGGGGGCTCCGAACCTCCCCTTTTCCTCACTTGTTCTCTCAGGTCTCTCCAGTTGCCAAAGCGTCTTAAGGATATCTAGTTTTATTGTCTCTAAAGACAATAAAATTATCCGCCCGTTAGGAGTGTTTGTTCAGTTAAGCCCAGTTTGTTTAGTTAAGGATTAGAAGCAAACTACTAGGGATTACAGCACGGTCAAGAAGCAAGGCTAGCAAGTCCCCTAGCAGCATATATTCAGGTGAAATATTTCACTTTGACGGAGGCAGGTTTCAGTCACACTAAGAAACGGGGCATTGTTACCGGGAAGTGATACTTGTTTCTGAAGAAAGGAGGCTTTGTAACCGGGAAGAGTTGCTTAGTTTTGGGAGAGGAGGGGAACACTACCTCAAGCCTTTCTCAGACTCCTGGGACTGAGTACCAATCTAAAACTTTATAGATGTGTGAGGAAACATAAGTCTGTCCTTGTTTTCTTTTTCTGTTAGTACTGTTGCTTTCAGACAGCCCAAACTATTTTTTGTAATGAAATAATATTTGGTTGTGAAATATGATGAATTTTAAAAAATGAACAGAATTTTGCAAAATTTTACAAACACTTTTGCAAATCCAAGGACCAACCCCTTCTTAATTTTTAGTATCCTTCCCTGTTTTCCGTTACAACCTTTTGCAGGTAAGCAATCCCCGGTTCTACCTTAAATTTTTATCACCATTTCCTAGGTGGCCACGGCAATAATTTAAATGAGTGGCCACAGAACCCAACCAGCTGGAATCTTTCAGGACAACAGTCAAAACATTACTGTGATATAATATTTTAAAAAGCAATTTTATGGCATTTTTTAAATAAATAATGTTACCTACTCTCTGTAATCCCAGTGAAAGGTACCAATGCCCTGGAATTCTGTTGCTTTCTGCTTTCGTAACTCTGATTCATGTCACTGACAGCATTTATAATACTCCCTTCGATCTTGGGCTGCTGCTTTTGTGCTGTGGCATTGAGACTTTTCACATCTTCTTCACGTTCTTTTTCACGGCCTCAACGAGTGCAAATATGGAAGAGAAGGGTAGCTTGTAATGAAACAATGCACACTGCAAATGTGCGAGAGAAACACGGGGCTGCGGGGGGAAACACGAAATTTTCCTTACCTTCTCCTAAATGAACAGCCTGCCACACCAAAGTCACAGTGAAGAGAATTCTACAAAATCCAAAAAAGCTGCAATGAATTTGTGCTGATGAGACACAAACACCAAAACGAAGATGGGTGGGGGGAGGAGGGGGGAAGGGAGGGGACGGAGCTTTTTCAAAGCTTTATAAAAATTGATAATATAAACTATAAATACTTTATGCCAGCAGTAATTCGAATTAACACATAAAAAATCTCAAATTGGGAGGGTGGGGCAGGCGGAGAACTGGGACATACGGATTAAGCTTGCTTCCAGAAAGCTATGGATTCCATACATTTGCTTGTCGACAACCACTCAAAAAAGTCTCTTTCTGTACCTTTCTTTACCACAACTAGGTTGCTGCCAGCAGCTGCAAAAGCAGCAAAGGCAAGAGAAAAACATTAGCCTTCACTTCACCCGTAGTTTCAGGTACATTTGTTCCTTTCAGCTTCCTGGGCTGATTATCAGCTGAAAAAATGCACTGCTAAAAGGAAAAGCATCCTTGGCTAGAGAAGATCCCTGGCAGCCAGGCAGCCTTACCTAACGTGATTTCCCCAGCACATTTTCCTGCAGCCCGAAATACCCGTAAGATCCTCCAGGAAAGCTTGAGCAGAAGGAAGAGGTCCAAAGTCCCCTCACTGAAGGCTGTTGCATGCAGCAGTTCTCACACCATAGAGGGCAACAAGAGAAGGAGAAAGGAGGATGGACGAAACCCTTCTCTTTCCGTCTAGTTTATAACAACGTTGAAAAGACATAGTTCCCAGTTGTACCGCTTGCTGAGCCCTCAGTGAAGTCCTGGCAGGCAGGCACCATCTCTCCCAGCTGGGTTTCCTTGGCCTGCCCCCGATTTACATGTACTGCTGAAGGGTGGAGCAAAGTGGGGGCACCTACTGCTGGGGGGAGATTTAAGGGTCCATGACCACAAAAACGCCCAAGCCAGGAAGATCTCAACCCCAGTTTATTTCTTAACATAAAAAGCCTTGTATCACCACATGCAGCATGGGGAACAAAAAACAATTCTGCAGAAATGCAACAGGTATATAATAAATTGCAGCAGGTATATAATGAAGGTTAAAAAGCCTCAAATCTACTACATGCCTTGTCTCTACTAGGGTTTTCCACAGGGAGCTCTACTTTATGAAGTTGTACCACTTTGCAGCACAGTTAATCCTTAGAGCCTGTATTAGAGATTTCTACCAAAAGTACTACAGAAACCCATAGAAGGTTCTTGACAGAGGTTTGTTGTCTCACAAAAGCTGTTAATAGACTCTTGAAATACCTTTTGAAACTTTTTTAACGTTAGTAAAGTTAGATCCATTACTGAGTTTTCCTAGTCCATGAGTCCATGCAATATCAGCAGCTACCTAGATTTAACTTACCATTTGCACTGAAATGGACTAAGACTGTTCACACAACTTTACTATGGCTCAGCAGCATCAGCAAAAAGACCTGCAGCTGGGCAATGGTAAAAAAGCAGCTCTGGACAGTCCGTCCCAAATGGGTCTACCTGTACCCCAGAGTGCACATGGCCTTTACCTAAGCTGTAACAGGAAACTGCAGCAATACAGCTTTGTTTTGTTTTGGAGGGCACGAGGAAAGGGGCTGCTTTCACTATGCCAGTGCAAATCAAGCCAGTACAAATTGCACCCTGGCTAGATAAATGGTCACATCAGACATATGGGTCAGACCTTCACTGAAGAAATGGGTGTACTGCTTAAAGATGTTGTCAACTCTTGTTGTTGTAACTCCCTGTGGCTGACACTTGTCAGCTTCGCCCCGTCTAAACTAATGGTTTGGAAGCTGTGAACACCACTCATCCAATTTGGTACAAAGGTTGGTTTAATTTACAAACCTGCTTGGCACTGAAGTAGATGGAGAGTGTTCTGAGGACATGCTCTTTTGTGTCTCCTGTGGGGACAATGATCTCCAGCAGGAGGATAGGAGTGCATGGCTGGAGATGGGAATGTTTGCAGGGAGTGCTCTGCTGGGCTACATCAGTCTTAGTGGATAAGGCGTTCCCAGTGCTGGTACAACTGTTGGCTCCAATTGATCTAAGCTCAACTGTTTTCTTGTGGATATAGGCTAACTCCTTTAGCTTCATGGTAACTTGTTTCATGGTGTGTTTTATGTTTGTTACTAATTTAAACAGATTTAGATGAAGCTATTCTTGTTCCAGACTTGTATTGAAGTACGATGCCTTTTAGAATTGAGAGTCTGTGATGTACGTTTGTGTGTAATTCAGCTAATTCAGTGCTAGAAGAACTTATATGCTAACACTTATAGGTAAGACATTTAGTAGAAAGAATGTTATGGTAAAAATCACAACATGTTAATTCAGGAAGGGATTTTGGTTTTGCTATCTTAAATAGCAATAATTTTGAAGAGATAAGTTACTCTCACCATTATGCTGTCTGCCTCTACCTGCTGTGATTCACAAGAACTTCTAAACTAAATGTGTTAAGGTTTATGTACTTGCTTAAAACCTATCACATGTGTGCAAGTACTGTTCTGACAACAGATGTTATTCTGAATTAGGACTGTAAGATGTTTCACACAAAATGAAAGAGATGTCATTTTTTTATGTATTCACAAAACATGTATGTTTGTTTTATCATCATTTGAAAATGTTTCCCTGTGGAAAATATTTACACTCCAAATGGGGTAAGTATTTTGAGTTTAAAAAGAGCAGCTGTAGTTACATTTGTTCACTGTTTTTTGTTACTATATTAGGAACAAAATATTCATTTTCAGTTTGGTCTAATTGGTAGTATCACTTTAAGTTACAACTTTCAGATGCTGAAACGCTGTCATTTAGTATCTACTTTGTTGGTTTTCCCCTTCCCATAGATCGAAGGCAGAAAAAATAAACAGAGATAAGTAAACACAGGAACATCCCACTTACTGGTTTTTTTTTACTAAATGCAGTGTCAATATATTTCTCCTGGAGAGCTTTTCTGGGTATCAGATTCTCCGCCCTATGCTGGAGGTAACTTTCAAAATAGGGATGCTGGTGAAGAAATATTGATCAATTTTCACACCCTGTGCCATTTGTTTAAGATCAGAAGTCGTCCCTCTAACTGCAAGAGCTAACAACCTGGGGAACTGTAAAGCAGTTGGTAAACATTTCTCACTGTGATACCTTGTTTCTTCCTTCCTTCTCCCTATAGCCTCACCAGCAAGGCACGCATAGGAATGGCGACAACATAAATTACTCAGATGCTGCTGTTGCCTGACTGCCCTATAGAGGTGAGATTGGTTTGACACTGTGGAGAAGCGCTGCTGTTTGTTGTTGACAGAATGTGCCAGAAAGTGATTGCTTCTGCCCAGGGATTTGTGCGGAGCTGCAGTAGGGGTAGACGCACGCCCTTTATCAGCTTCAAGTAAGATAAGAATGGAGCCAACCAAAGAGCTGGTCCTGACCATTTCAGTCAAGCCCTGTGTACACAGGAGATGGTTAACCATTAGTTAGGAGCCTTCGGTGCTGTTAGTTCCAAAAGCAGGTCAAATAGCCTATATGGATAAGGGTGGTAGGAAAACATGGTGTTATTTTATTAATCCACATAACCCTTCTTGTGCTTATCCAGGGAACTGTAGGTCTGTAGCCTACATCTTCCATCACTGTTTCCCAACGTGCTAGTGGACCACTACGCTGAAAGATGAAGCATGGATAATACATGTTGGTTTTTGGTATATTAATGCTTCATACCAATTGCATTCCTCTGTAGATACTCAGTATTTCTGAGAGCTTCAGGATCAATAAATGCCTAAGGACTGGAGGCATCAATGGAAAAAAACAGAAACAAGGATGACAAAAATGTGGGTGTCCCTGGCTTCCTGGGAGCTGTGCTGAAAATTCTGCTCAGGGATATGCAAAGTTCAACGATGGCCAGTGCAGCCAAAGTGCCTGCTGATTAAAAGGTTTAGGTTCCCAAATGCCAGCTTAGGGCTAGGACCAGATCCCTAACCAGATTCAGCAATGTTAAATCAGTTATGCAGAATGTTATGGAAAGCAATGGAAAGCAATTATGCCTCCTGGACATTTATTGAAGTCTTGGGAATAGAGACTTCCATGAAGCAAAGCTGTCAGCCTGGGTGACTTACAGTTCTCTGAGGAAAGGGCAGACCCCAGGCAGTCTAGGCTGGGAGCTCTCAGAGTGTACTTAACTCATTAAATGGTAAGGATCCTGGTTGGAAAGATGTAATACTAGCCAGCCTGAGATTTTTATTTTTATTTGTTTATTTTTTGTTGGCTACAGCTGCTACTAGGACTTCTGACAGTTACCCAGGTGTTCTTGCTTTCTAAAGGCTATGTACAACTTAAACATAGTTGGACTGAATGATTTTATGGTGTTACCGAACTTACTTGACAGGGGCTGGTCAGACTAGCTCTTATTACTGTCAGGAATTTCCTGTAGGATTGTGTAGGGATTGCTGTTGTTGCCTCTTCATCTCTGTGTAGGTATGAAGTGGAAATTATATACAGGCACAAGAGCTTGCACTCATTCAAATGAGCAGTACAAATGCCCCAAGCAGCTTTTTTCACTCCAAGTTAAGAATGACTTATATTGGTTTAGTTGGAATCTACCACTAATTGACTTGAGGAAGTAAGAAGCAGGAAAATAAGATAATCCATACAGTGACTGGCATCAGTTTAAGTAATGCCACAGGTCCATGATCAACTTAAGCTGGATAAATGGCTGCTGCTGCTAAAAGGATAAGTACCCCTCTGTCTTTCACCATGGGCTATTTGTTTGTACTGCCTCCCTCACACTGCCATTACTGTTTGTGCAGCCATGAGTGAGCTGGAGCAGGGAATTTATCTGAATGAAAACTCAGCTGGCAAAAAAAAAGAGGTTAGTTTTCAGCTGGATCAGCTCCCTGATGTGGTTTGCCACATGAGCACTAGTGCTGGCAGAAGCAGGAGGCAGTGATAAGCAGCCACGGCCATGTGACATGCTGTCCCTTTCTGTAGCAGACCTGATTTATACCAGATTAAACTGACTGTGGAATTTGTAAATAGATTTCAGTTTATAAATTTAGACTGGTGTTCCCCTCCCTAGGAAATAAACCACAGCCAATATATCCACATGATAATGATACCACCTTCTATGCTCTCATCCTATTAGCACTGACTAATACAGAGGAGTAAAGCAGTCATCCCGCATCTCTCTGACAGCATATGGATGAAGGTTAGTACCAACAAGATGGGAGTGATATTACCAAATGAAAGGAAACAGCTACAGCAGTCCCTTGGAGAGGGAACCTTATGCAGATGTTGTACAACGATGTAATACTCTGTCACAGACTGACATAAATTTATGGAATAAACCCAGACTCATAACAGAGCATCCTGTAGGTTTTCCTTCTATGGAGCCTAACGGTTAGTCATTAAACATGATGAAAAAAATCAATATGATAATGAAAGGTTTTTGTAATGAAAATGAACGTAGTTGATGTCTTTTGTGTACAGAAAAATAATAAAAAAAATTTCTGCCAGTATACAGGGGAAGGGATAAGAAGAACCATTATCTTCCTCTGAGGTAAAGGTTCTTTGGCAAATGAA